ACCGAGCTACAGCCGGAACGCTCAGTTGAAGCCACAGCCAGTCTTGGGACAGCTGCGGGAGGTCTCACTGGCGACTTGCAGCTGTTGGCTGAATCAGAATGCCAGCAATGGACCCCCACAGCGGCGGTCCAGTACGTGACTTTTTGCCACCCTGGGTGTGGCATTCCACCATAACGGCTTGGTTTTCTGGTGCCAGGTATGAGTCATTCTGCTGATTTGCGCCCTTTTGAGCACAACTACGTCTCAGTCGCTGTCTCTTCAAGCCCCCCAAGATGTCCAAGGAATGCCGGTCTCCGTTTAAGCTGTATGAGCATGAGCTGACTCTGCTAGCCATGTGCTTGACAGTCAGGGTCCCGACAGCATGGGGTCGATAGAGGTAAAGTCTCAACGTTCTGCGAAGCGCTCTCCACGCAATGGTGAGATGGTCAGGGGTTTTGATATCACTACCAGCGAGATGGCCCCCTACTCTCCGAATAGGACTCATCAAACCCACGCAAACGCGCGGCTGGTTCGTCACTGCAAGGACGCCGCCGCTCAAAATTGACCTGAGGTTTCCCTTCGCACATCGTCACCAGGTGCCGACCTATCGACCGCTCAAAGACCCATCGCCTTCGTATATACTTCAGCGACAACCGATTGCGGCTTTTTTCCGAACTTCTGGCGCGCTGAGGTGGCGCTCCAGCGCCACACAGTACGCAGTCCTTTGATGGACATGTGGGCGGGTGAACGGCGCACTTCTGAGATACTGAGAACGCGTCTTCCCGCTCAGCCATGCTAGTCACAGGGAGAGCTTTGATATTCTCATTGCTGTGGCTGCCCTCCTGGCTGAAGTGTCGTCAATGCATGAGAATGTTGCATAAATGGCCTCTAAGAGCCTGCGCTGGCGTACTGCAATGTGATGCGTTTTGCGGGATACGTCGTGCGGTGAAATTTGGTTTTCTGAATGATGGCTTGTGGGTGTCCGTTAGATATCACAACATTTCCATTTTGAGCATGCTTTACGTTTGGGCTGTCCAGACGGCCAGACCAGAGTCCAGACGCTTAAACTCGGCATCTGGGAAAATGGGACGGGCTTTTGGGTTTTAATCAGATGGGCCGAGGTTATGGAAGTTAGATAAGACGGTAGTAATAGCCTTGTTTTCGTAGAAAAACCAGGAGGATGGAGATGTAGATGCTTTGATATTTCGGCAACCTGCCTTCACTGAAAAGAATAGCAGAAATGCATATAAAAGCATGCTACCGAAATATCAACGCATCTACATCTCCATCCTCCTGGCTTTTCTAGGGGAATAAGGCTATTACTGCTGTCATATTTGCATGCATAATGTTCCTCACAAATGCACTTAATAGCTTATGAGGTTATAGGAGGATGATGGGCGCATCCATGGGCTTGTTGGATACCTCAGTTTCGAATGTACCGTTTTCATGGACAGTGAGAGACGTGTTGAGAAGAGGTATCTGCTTATGATATGAGTGGTCATTTCCTTTCCTGTAATCTTTTATTTCTTTTCACTTTCTTTGTGCTTTCTCTGATCTTTTCCGGATCACTCTGACCGTTTCTGAACCGCTTTTTCTCCCTTCTGCCCATCGGGGAACACAAAAACCTTTCCGTTTCTAGGAGGGACTGAGCGATAGGTGCCACGCTCGAAACTCTTTACAGATTCCAGCTCGGCATGATGCAAGTACACAACACAGCACCCACACAACACACAACAGGCAGCACAAACAAAATGCAACACACATTGGCAAAACCAGCCACACAACGGATCCAAAATTTCGCATACATTGGCAGAAAACAAAAAAAGTCAGAAATTCCTTCAACGAACACATACGAAACACCGAGGACAAAACAATGCCATTTCTCTTGGCGAACAGTTAAAAAAACCGAACTGTAGCACTCGCCATAAGTGCTCCACACTGTCTCACGCGCTACCATATAGGCTCAACAACTGAGCGCGTCGTGAAGCCTCAGTGACGACGACGACGGCTAAACGCTCTATACAATCAACATATTGGGCAAGGATGAGTAATACATGCAACGATGTGGCACGACTTAAAATCACAGGGTCTGTGGAAACGCAAACATAATGCCAGCTCTCAACACTGTGACATCTTCCTCGACACTGGTTGAGAGACCTCCCTACACGGCCACATAACGTACAGCACACCACCACCGAATTGGCTGCTCCAGATCAAACTGACCTTGGGGCTCGCGAGCGCGCTCTTGAGTGTTCATTTGTGTGCATGCGGTGTGCCGTGAGGTGTACTGTGAGGATGAAAGGACAGAAACAACTATTTCATTGTGTGACTGAAATGATGAGGCGAAACATTCAAGGTGTCGTCTCGGAGCACATGTGATGCTTGAGTGTTACTCTGTTTAGCAGTTAGTAAGTTCGTAACTTAGCCGATCTAACCGATATGCTGATATGATAACTGGTGTCTTGATGCTGATCGATGTAGCCGACGTTAACCGATGTGGTGTTTTAACCCGCGCCCGGCCATGGAAAAGCTGGCTTCCCTACTTTTTTAGCACAGCTCAAAAATGAATGCTCGATGCAGCATCAAATTTGTATTACCCATTTACCTATTGATTTGGCATTTTTCGCACAAATTTAAAGCTTTGTTCTGCAGAACTTTCAAAACAGGCAAGGTCAGTGACCTGACGTGAGGTCAATTTTTGTTATTTTTCGGAAATAATTTAAATTTACACGCATTTTTGTGTAGCTTTGGTGTCTGCATATAAGGAAAAGGGTGCTTACTCATATGCACAACCATCATGTGACCATAGAGCACATGACCTTTGCCCAGGTCATGACCTACTTCTATACATGCTTTCCACAAAACACATGCTCGGCTCGAAATAGACAGATATTGTTGGTAGCTTTGCGCGCATATTTTGAATAGCCCGCTGGCAGCATGTGATAAGGCAAAATGAGGTCACAATACGTCATGTGAAGATACGCAATGCCATATGAGGTCATCCTAAGTCAATGGCCCCTGTTGTCAGCAGCGGAGAGGCTGGATGAGTGCTTGCGACGTGGTTATCCATCTTTTTTTGGTGTTTATAAAGCTGATGACGCATCATTTCCTGTACCAATGTGCCTGTTGTCAGTTTGCCACGAAAACACTGCTGAGCGTCAAAGGGGCTATGCATAATAGACACAACAAATCTGCAGCCTTGAATGTCAGTAGATTTCAAACACACTATCCAAACACAGAAAGTTGTTATACTCGTCAGTGAGACGCGGTACGCGCGTCATGTTTCATTTGGATGGCTTATAAGGTTGACCTCAGCTGACGTGTAGGCTATCCTAAACAGTCGTTTTTGTGTTTGGAATGCTTTCGTCTAAAACGGTGACCTTACCTGACCTGACTCTTGTGGGGAAACAAAAATAATTACAATGGACTCCGCAGAGTCTTAACGCTTACTTACGTGCCTTCAATATCCGTCTTGATATGCATGTCCTAACTGCATCTATCAGCACAGCTGTATTTTACTTTTTTAACCTCTGGTGACTTGACATTTGACCCAGGGTTAAAAGCTTGGTGTGCATTCTTTATGATTTGACGAGACCTTTACAACGGCCTCGTTGTTGCTTTTTCCCGTCCGACATCTGGAAATTGGAGATCCCAGGAGAGTGGGAAGTCAACTTCCCCCCAGCCAGGCGCGGTTGTCTGAGACGCCCCGCCGGGCGTGGGTTAATTATGCTCTATATATTATTTGAAAGTCATCAAAACCACAGGTCGGCCTATGCATTTACCGTCCAAAACTTTTTTTTGTGAAAAAGCTATGCAGTTGGTTATGCAGTTGGTTTGTGTTTGGAATGTTTTGCCTTCTCTAGTTGGTTATCAAGGCCTCAATACTGACAGCCCTGAAGAAGCTGCAAAGCGGATGAATGTATTGACTCACCTTTCGACCTTTTTCTATAATATAAGCAAAGGCTACTCAACCCACCTTACAGAAATGTCAAATATGCTAAAATTCGATATCCATTCTGAACTATCATTACAGATGCAGGTGACTAAACCCCACGTGATGCGACACCGTTTGCTAGTCTCCAACTCAGTAGAGCAGCGAGGCTCAGTTTACTCCCTTCTAGTGATACAGCTCAGTTGAAATGACGCCGCAGCAGCTGAACTGACTCTGCTGGCGATGGGACACGGCTCAGCCGGTCTCCTGTAAGTGATCCGACAAGGCACAATTGACTCCCGGCCAGAATCACAGCCCAGTTGGGTTGACTCCCTGTCATTTCTTCGCTCTCCATGGCGAAGATATGTCATATTGATGCATTGAACTCGGCTAGGGTGGTCATCAGCGATCAGAGAAGCCATATTAGGGACTTATTATCCGCTACTTTGGCTTGTGTAGATTTAGTCTCATGTATTATTGGATGTCGACGGAACAGTCTGCTTTGAGAGATGTATTTTGGGATGAGTAGTAATCAGCGCAGGAAATACAAATTATAATCAGTGCAATAAATACAAATATTTTTTCGTTTCCGAATGTGAGCTAAAAATGCTGACCGATGAAACTCTAGGGATTCCTTGCTTTACACTTGCCAATTTCTTAGCATTAGTAATGGCTACACACTCAGACGAAAGCAGTAACATTTCATAATTGTCGGGAACATTTTAAACTCAAGCAACTTGTGAAGTATGTCTTCTGAAAAGAACCACGCCGCCACCTTTCAAACACAACACAAAGACATGCCGGGCGCTGTGCTACTCCTCGGCTGCGCAGTAGCGGAGCCGAACAAGCGGCACACAAGAGCGCGCGATGGAAGCCTGGCCGGGGGAGCCTCGCCGTGCTCCGGAGCTTTCCAGCCTCTCGACGGCGGAGCGGAGCGGCGCTGCGCCGCCTCTGGGATCGATTGGAGGGCGGCCGGCGGCGCGGCCCGCCGCGCCGCCCCAGTCGGCCGGCGCGAGAGCGCGCGACCCGCCGCGCCGCGCCACGCCCGCCGCCGCGATGGCGCGCCGCCCCCCGCCGCCGGACCAGCTGCGCCTGTTTCGCGGCGGTGACGACGGAGTGTGAGCAGCGTATGAGGTAGGTGCTGGGATGTGTTGGTGGTGTCGGAGGGGGAGCGCATCTCTCGAGCTGCGCTGGACCTGTTAACTTCAGTGTTTTCGTTAATGAAAAGTAATTTTGGCTCCAGCGACTCAATCGCCGTCCTTTTATTATGTGCTCATGCCTTTGCCGTGGTGTATAACAGCAACATGCATATCTCAGCGGCCCAGAAGTTTAAGTTTTCCTGATAATATCCCAAATGTTGACGTGGATCACTACATATGTTTCGATATCCTAGAACAATCAAAGCATGCGCAGCGATCCGACATGGCAGCAAAACGCCTGGCGTTTCGACGACACTTGGCAATGATTCTTTGTTATGGACTTAATCTGTTTTTATTGGTTCTTGTTATAAAACTTAGGCTTTACAAGGGAAATGCTGGTCATGTATGCAACGCATGATGCTGATCGAGAAAATGCAGCGCCTAAGAGCGTCCTCTGACCGCTGCTGCCCTGATTTCTTGCCATTCAGACTGATCCAAAAGGTTTTCACATCTCGACATTCAGAATGCTCGGGCGGCCTGCGTGAGTGCCCTGCCAGGGAGTGGCACCAGGCGCCGGGATATTGCCTTGCTGTACAGCACACCGGCATCCCGGAAACCCACAGAAGCGTGAAAAACATGCCGTGCAGAAACGTGGCGTAACGTGAGCCATCTATCGTGACGTTGCTGGTCAGATAGAGATTGAGATGGAAGGAAAAGACAGCCTGTGCGCGATATAAAAACGGCAGGGACGTAAAGACGGCGCATAAAAACAGGGGGAAACAACCTGTAGCGTGAAATAGACGGGAAGAAACAACTCGACCGTGACATAAAGACAGCAGGAGACAACCTGTAGCGCGTCTTATTCAGAGCGAAGAGCACTGCTGAGCCCGTGCAGGCACAATTGAAGTGTTAAGCGTTCACATCATGCACCGAATGTTACGGCCCCATGGTAAGTAACTGGGCAGGGATTACGTGGTAGGCGGTAGCTGAAGATTGCTTGAACTATGAGCAAAGTGTTAATTTAGCGGTGCGGTTGGGTCGGCCCAAGCTTGTTACTTTTTTACATACTGATGTCTTGCAGCACGCTGATCGTGCGCTGGCACAGTTTTCCACCTCAGGAGGCACAATACGTTACAAGTGATGGCACATTTTTAAGTATTTACTTGCGATCTGCTTGATTAGGCGGCCTTGTTTGGCACTATTGCATCACCACGATTTCAACTACTCTATTTGATAAGCATGGAAAAGGTAGACTTTTTCGAAAGCTGTTCGAAAGTTTGAAAAAGCTTAACAGAACGCGTCAAAGTCGGATCCGGATTCTGGCAACGCAGCGCCACGGCAACACCAGACTAACGGATGCTGACGGGAGAGAACCTGACAATCATATGGGCAAAACTGTCTGCAGCCATCCATGCCCTCTTAAACGCAAGCTATAAACACGCCCATTTTGCGTCACTTTTGAGGAGTAACGTAAGGTTTCGGCAACCGAAGCAGATAGATACGTGAAACAGCCTGCACCAGTCCGAATGTACCTGCGAAGGCTGTCTCATCCTCCCTGCGAATATAGCGGCTACAATTCACCAGCGGACCTAAAAGCGCTCCGACTTGTGGGCGCGCCACTAACCGACCGGAGAGCGGCCAATACCAACTTTTCCAAACCCCATCACTAATACAAGACGCTGTGGTCTGAACTGATAAACATGGGTTTTGGGAAATTTCCCATGCTGGTAATGGATTTCTGTCTGTTACGTTTGCAGGAAATTAGCCTTTCCACCGCATTGAATAAACTCATTGGCGTCGCTTGCTTAATATTTCCGGCTCCGTTGGCTTAGTTTTTGTGCGACATATATGACACCAGCTGACAGCTCCACCTACCGGTAATTTATAGCGTTGCAATTTGCCGATGCTGTGTCACAGCGCAAAACAGGATCGTTCTCTACCACCAGCTTGTAATCAACAAGAATACAAGCCTGACGTGATAAACAAGGTTATGAATGACCATGCAAGGAAAGATATGTTTTAGCAATGAAATTCCGGCTAAAGATGTCCGGCGTTCGAGTAATATTGACTTCCATCGTTCAGGCAATGGTGATCAGGTTTGTGCAACCGTGTCACGAATATACGCGGTATGCAGGGAAGGATGCCATGTGTTATATACATACATGATATATATATATACATGATATATATACATGATACGCGTCTGCCGTCAGCGGATGAGAGGCTTCATAAGCTTGGTTGCTTTCTTGAAACGAAAATAAACTCTATGTGGTTTTCTGAAACGGCGACGTACATATGAGTATTATTATAGTTTTGGACAGTCGTAGAGCACATGCGCACACAATTTGTGCACCTAAAAATTTAATGGATCAAAAGTGACGACCGTTTTGTCGAGGTCATGACGGTAGCATGCCAGATATAATTACCCCCTGTCATACTCCTGTCTCGACAGACGAGCTCTCAATAACTTCTCTGCATTGATTGTTTAATGTCAACCAACAGCTAGACAATGGGATTTCATAAAACTAAATTACGTCAGACTATTTCAAACGAAACTGGGTCAGAGGCTCACAATTAGGACAAATCTTTAGGAATCATCTTGTATATGCATGACCTGGTTTGACATAGCTTAGGTGACATCCACGGCCATTTGAGAGAATTTTGGCAAGCACCATCCGCCGTCGTTTGTTCGTTATCGTGACATTCTTAGTTCTTTAGGCCATAGAGTGGGAACGATACAAAGCTTGACCTATATAACTTGATTTAACATATGACCGGTAACACCCACTGATATGGTACTAAACAGTTCTGAAATAGCGAGCCAGTGGTTTGAGCGTAAGATACCTTCCTGCTGGGGACGAGTATCAAGACACAACTCGTCGCACACAGCTGCGCTAAATCAAAATACAGCTCGTTCATTACGCACAAAAACATCAGCGGAGTTGATAGAAGAATAATGTATTTGGTGTCGCCTGTGCAGTCCGTCATAAAACATAGGCCGGTATGACAGCAAATCCCGCTGAATAGTCAGACGAAGCTGAGCCTGCTATCACTACCACATACCACGCCGTCAGACGAATTCACCAGTGGAATCGGACTTAGGTTCAGCACGGCTGTTTTCGGTAAACACCCATTCAAAACAGATTGGAAACATGCTGGGCGGTGTAACTGAGGAGACATCGAGAGCTCCTCAAAACTGTACACGTAACTTGCCGGAGTGTGCAATTGCCCTGCAATCGCTGTGCTGAGTGTGACTCCTCTGCGTTTACCCAGCCGCATCCTGTGACCGCATCCCCTTGGGGCATAAGTAACGCAAACTACAATCGTCTTTTGATGAATGATTTGAGTTGGTCACAAAACAATCGCGCTTACGCACGCATGTAAAAGAAGGGAGACAACAGCTTAGTGGTTACTGATGTTAATGGAACGAACGTTTTAGACACGGCCAAGGCCACGGGGCGGAGGAACAGTTTTGACCGTCATTCATTTACACAAATATGATGATGCAGACGGCGCGTCTCACCCCGTAACGACTTTACAAAAAACACCGACACAAGCCGCGGCATTGCGTCGGAGCCACAAACGATCAGCGTGCGGATGATCCGTTCGGAGCGGCGGCGGCGACGGCCGCGGGGGACGACCCCTGACCGCGTCCCGCCTCCCGCGGGTCATCAGCGTGACAGGACGGCTCGGTAATCGGATGGCTCGGCGGTAGCTGCCGTCACACTCGGGGGAGTGGCCGGGTCGCCGCGCAGACACGCGGCCGCGCGCCGTCCGGAAGCGGCCGATATTGGCGCGGTGGGCGCCAGGGCTGCGCCGGTGGCGGCAGCAGCGTCACGATATGACGCCGCCGCAGCCGGCGAGAGGGTGTGGTGATGGAGCGCGCTAGAGATGATCGTGGCAGCGGAATTTACCGCATTCTGCAGCGCGTTTAGGCGACATGAATCAGACTCCTTTTGACGGAGGGGCAGTACTGGACACTCGAGCACGTGGGAGTGACTTAGGACTTCGCTGACATCGGGATGAAACGGCGGGGAGCACCGCGCGCGCCTGAGAAGAGGAGCTGCATTTTGCGACATATTGAATCTGTGCTCCTCCATGAATAGAAAATGGTCGATGACAGGCTCGGCATATTCAAGTTCGGTGAACACGTAATATATATGAGCACCTATCTGCGCTCAGGACATGAAATTCTCCTGATGGATAGGCATGTAACGGCAAGGTGGAGGACAGCGCCCTCGTGGCTCATCTTCACGAAGCCGAAGTGAGCTGGGGATTTGAAACGAGAGTGATCCCGTTCTGCCCAGATCTAGGGCGGGAAGTTGGTTTGGATACCCGCGGGTAACGCGACTTTGCGGCCCAATGGTAAAAGCGTTGAAGAGGCCTGAGTCCCTTGGAACCCCACAGAGAAAGCACTCACTTACCATCAGCCACCGATCGGCAAAGCAGACCTTAGCGACATGACACTATCAGACCCATCGCGCTAGTGCCGCGGTCATGACAAATTCAGATCCAGCGCCGCCAAAAGATTCCCAATGTGATTAAAGCTGAGAACAGCCACACGGTTTCAGTTGATCTGACTAAGACATGCCCCACATAACAAGAACCACGTCTGACCTTGCATTTCTCTGAAACGGAATAAACAAAGCACGCTGGGCATTTTGCCAGCTACATTGGAAGAGTTGCGCCTGTTGGCGTGTTTCACAAGGAACAATTTCTTGATTAATCTGAATTATTCAAGATTATGACACATCTTGGGCCAAAGCCACACAATGAAACATCCACAAATCGAAAGCAATAAACTCATATTCGCAAGATACAAATTACGCTTCAATACTAGTCAACTGTGGTAAATTATTTACAGACTCGCAGGGTTGAACATAATGCACATCAATGCCTAGTAACCTGTATTCAATGCAAACACCCTGCATAGCACACATAGGGCTGTGCAGCGTGCAGCGTGACCATGCTATGCAGCGTGCAGCGTGACCATGT